TATTGAAGAGCTCGGCTTATCGTATAAATATTATCCGGTCATCTATTTAAAAGGCTAGAAAAATTGATCGGAATATGACGGCGAACTTTTGTCGGTGTTTAATTCTACTCCTAAGAATTAACAAATCGATTAAATTAGCAGAATATTAATATGCGTAAGCGATGCATGAAGTATATGTATTTATATCTCTCAATATTTATGTTTTTTCTTGAATAATATTATCTTTGTTGTGGTAGGGAGATTTAATGCTTGAAGAAGTTTAAGCTTTAATATCCTCACTTGCAAATTATGGTGAAATTGATATGTTAATATTGAAAAATGAGTCAAATGACACTCAAATACAAGTTTGGATCCCTGCTTATGTATACTCATCATTAATTTGAAGTGGAATTTATTTAAGGAGAACTCCGTATCAATGAAGTTTTTGAGAATGCGAATACGAAGTCCATCACATTGTGAAATTGAAGGTTTTATAGTTTTAATGGAGGAAAATAGAATAAATTGATGCTTGATTATTATAAAAGATAAATCAACATTGAGAAAGCATTTACATTTAATAAGGCAATTCATCTTTTTCTTTGTCAGATCTTGTGTACTTTATATATGTATCTTAAGTATTCACACACACATTCCTAGATGTTTGCAATTACTCTTTCCGGTCCAAAATAAGTGACTTTTTGGCCTTTTTCTTGTGGTCCAAAATAAGTGATTTTTCCAGATTTCAAGAATGAATTAATTATTTTTTTCTTACATTGTCCTTGGAGTAAATAGTGTTGGAATATGTGTTAGGAGTGTTTATGTGAGATAGTAAAGGTTAATATGGTCAATTCCATTGCTAATTAATGTTAAAAGGTGGATTTCTTAATCTGTGTGAAAATATCCAAAAAATCACTTATTTTGGACCGGAGGGAGTACTATTTTGCAATTCCTTTACTTTCCTATCCATGAATTTTTTCCCACATTTTAGGTGTTATGGTCCTTGCATTTAATATGTGTGGAGTATTCTCAATATTTGAGGTTTTACAAGAATTTATTTCTTTGTTCATGCATCTGGAAAGATTATTTCGTAAGTTCAATAAGGTCGTACAAATTTTCTAGTAAAATACATATTGCCCGGCTCGTTAGATTTTGGACAAATTGAACGTGTGATATGGCTTTAGGTCAATTTTGACATCCTCACTCGTATGTTACAAGGTAATCCACTTTTTCGTCAGCTCTTGTAGCCTTAGTTTTCTAACTACTAAATTAATGCATAAAAACTTAAAAAAAGACACTATGATAAATTAAGTCGAAAAAGGGGAATTAGCTACCTGTGTACGTTTTCCTGTTTCTATCTCAATTATTTGTGTTTTTTTTTTCTTCCAGAATATGAATTATTTGAATTAGGCACCCATGTTTTTGCTTACTGTTTTCGATTTTAATTTCTTTTTTGTTATCCATTTTATAGAACACCTATTATTCGTTTAATTTCGGTTCCAACTTGCAATGATTTCTTTTGGTTAAGGGTAATGATTAATTAACTTCTCTTCTCATTTCCAAAATTGATATGATAATTCTTGATTTGACATATTTATCCTATCAACACAACTGTGGTACCTTCTCTTCACTACCAAAAAGGAAAGTCATTGCGCTGGTGGTTAAAGCAACCGTTAATTTTTACCTATGGAAATGAGACTATGTTTTTTCTCCATTACGTACTTGATTATAGGCGCTTTCGACTTTGGGAATCACTTCTCCTCTTGGCCTAAGGTTCTATTATTCATGTTAATTAATCAGAACTGCTTTCGTCCTTTCCAAAGTTTGCTTTACCTATTTGTTAATTCACTATATTTAAGGAAATTTTGCTTTACTCAATAGTAACAGTGGTGTCGAGACAATTGTGCACAACTCGACTAATCACCCTGGTTGCTACCTTCACCAGCATAGATATCACGTAATTCTATCCATTACGATTTAGATAAATTAGCAGAAATCACCTCACGTCTTTTGTCTTAACTGAATTTGAACCATAGTCTCACATGGTCCATTTTAATATCATTGACCATTCAATCACACCCTTAAGTATTACTAATCTTATTTAGCTGACAAACTACCTAAGCTTTTGATTGCAATTTGGTTTAAAAGTCATTATACCAAGGTGGACTGTGGTGCTTGGATTACATGTGACATTTTAACAACTTTGGGTGAATTGGCATCATTGGCTCCCATGTGCCAACTCCTGCTCTATACGGACCTCCTAGTCACTTCATATTCTAACCCAAGATTGCAGGCTTAAACACTTGCTTACTCTAAACTACAGTACATTATTAGTTAGAAGTAAGGGTGTATATGGATCGGGTTGATTCGATTTTTATTAAAACCAAATTAAATCAATTATATCAGTTTGGATTGGTTCTGTTTTGTCGGGGTTCTCGGATTTTTTTGTAACATGAATATTATTTCAATCTTACTTTGTCAAATTTTTTATAAGTAAATATATGTTTAGTAAAAATTGAAAAAATTGACAAACATATGATCTATTAAAATATTTTTATGGGAGAATTTTGTTAATAACACATGATATATAGTTACTNCTGGGAAAAGGGGTTTTAACTTTTACATAATTAAAATTAATCAAAAATATTTAAAAAATGGGGTTCATTTGGCGGGTTACCAAAATTTCGGGGGGGGGGGGGCGGGGATGTAGGGGGAATANGTATATCCGAAGGATCTCCCGGGATACCGTCCCGTAGTCCAACTATCAATGTGCAGGGGGATCTATCGGGAATCGAACCCGCAGTCCCAAAGTAAACAAACAAGGGGGGGAGCTACCGGAATCCCACATCCGTAGTCCCAATGTAAATGCGCAACCACAACCAGAAGATATTCAAAAATGAAGTACCAAAGACAAACATCAGGTAGTACTAGCCTAGCATGCTTCACGTAGTACAGTCAAGGCAACTTAAACAATTAGGCAAGTTAAATCAACTAAACATGCTTTTCTAATCTAGCACAGGTTATAATTGCAAGTAGAATAAAGCAAATATGAAAGGAACTCAATCTCAATATCTTAAGGAAGCCGGATTTTCAACAACTGGCTCAAGTACGCGCCCGTCACCTCGCGAACAAGGCACTCAAATCAACAAATAACAAATCCTAAGGGAAATGGTCCCCCACACAAGGTTAGACAAGCCACTTACCTCGAATCGGCACCAAAATCAACTCGAAATCACACTTTTGCCACGAGTATCCGACTCCAAATGGCCTAAATCTATTCAATTCAATTACATATCGTAAGTAATATTGCAAACAACTGATTCCACTATTAAATTTACAGCTAGGGCGCAAAAATAGGTAAAATGACCAAAACGCCCCTCCAGCCAACGTCTCGGAATCGAATAATTTTCACATTTTCAAAACCCTCGTACTCTCACGAGTCTAACCATATAAAAGTCTCCCAAATCGGAGGTCAATTGCCCACTCAAAACTCAATAATTAGGTCTATGAAGTTTCTTCCAATTTTTGATCCTAAATTCAAATTCCAATGGTGTATTTAACTATAAAATGATGAAATATAACAAGAAGGGACCAAAGAAACGTTACCCAGTGATCTCCTCTCCAAAATCCTCTCAGAATCGCCCTTGCCCGAGCTCAAAATTGATTTTCAAACTTATGAAATTAAACCCTCTAAATTTCCTATTTCTGCCCAGACATTTCCGCTTCTGCGGACAAGGGACCGCTTCTGCGGTCCCGCTTAAGCGGCAAAATAACCGCTTCTGCGGTTTCTCATTAAAGAAAGAAATTCCGCTTTTGCGGACACATGACCGCTCCAGCGGTTCCGCTTCTGCGGAAAGATGACCGCTTCTGCAGTCTCTGAGGGGAAGCCAAAAATCGCTTCTGCGATGAGGAAGCCGCTTCTGCGGCTCTGCTTTTGCGGTTCCCAAACCGCAGAAGCGAAAATACCAGAAGGGAAAACATACCAGCTGCAACAACTTAGAAAATTTCCCCGTTAACCACCCGAAATCATCCCGAGGCCCCCGGGGCCTCAACCAAAAGCACCACTACCACCTAATACCTTATTCGAACTTGCACCAATCCTCAAAACACCTCAAACAACACCGGAAACCCGATTAAATCAAGAATTCAAGCCTAAGAACTTCAAATTCTAACCAAATACGCTTTCGATCAAAAACCTAACCAAACCTCGTTCGAATGACCTGAAATTTTGCACACACATCCCAAATGACATGACGGAGCTACAGCAACTTCCGGAATTCAAATCCAACCCTCGGATCAAAAACTCACTATCGGACCGGAAGCTTCAAAAATCCAAACTTCGGCATTTCAAGCCTAAATGAGCTACGGACCTCCAAATAACATTCCGAACACGCTCCCAACCCCGAAATAACCTAACGGAGCTAACAGAACCATCAGATTTCCATTCCGAGGTCGACTTCACACTGTTCCGATTACGGACCATTTTTCAACACTTAAGCTCTCATTTAGGGACTAAGTGTCCCAAAACTTTCCAAAACTCAACACCGAACGTCCCGACAAACCAAACTAGCAGAAATGAACTTAGGGGAAGCAGTTAATGGGGGATCTGGGCGGAAATTCCAAAAACGACCGGCCGGGTCGTTACAAAGTAATGCATTATAAAATGAGCTTCATGACTCTTGTACCTTGATATTTTCATCTCCTTCATTTGCATGCATTTTGAAATGTTTGAAGCACAACCTTTTGGTAACTTGGCATTTTTTATGACGGTACAAAATAAATTTTTCTGTTTTGGTTCCATGTAGAAACAAGCTTTAGCCAAACTCACTGTTCCATCATCATCTTCTCTTGGTTGTAACTCCTTTCGTATCCCAATTTCTTGTAAGTCATAGCGAGCATTTACATGATCCTTTGACTTTTTTTCTATTTCCAATTAAGTACCATGCAAACTGTTGCAAATATTTTTCTCGATGTGCATCACATCAAGATTGTGCCTCAATTTATTATACGCCCAATATGGCAATTCAAAAAAATGATCTTTTTTTCCACGGACCCTCGTTATCCAGAGATCTTTTCTTTTTGCCCTTTCCAAAAACATTGTTGAATTCAAGCAACTCTTGAAACACTTCTACACCCGACAAAGGAGTAGGTGTAGGTCTATGTTCCTCCTTACCATCAAATGACTTCTTATCTTTCCGCAAAGGATGATTATGAGGCAAAAATCTTCGATGGCCCATGTAACACATCTTATGACTGTGTTTGAGATATAGAGAGCATGTGTCATAATTACAAGTAGGGCATGCCAACCTCCCCTTGGTGCTCCATCTTGAAAGCATTGCTAATGCCGGAAAATCACTAACTGTCCACAACAAGGCTGCACGCATTTGAAATGTTTGCTTTGTCTCAGCATCATATGTTTCTATCCCAGTTTCCCATAGTTCCTTTAATTCTGCAATAAGTGGTTGTAAGTACACATCTATATCATTTCCTGGAGATGAAGGACCTGGAATGATCATTGACAACATGATATATTCTGGCTTCATGCAAATCCATGGTGATAAATTATAGTTCATTAACATGACAGGCCACGTGCTATGAGATATGCTCATGGTTCGAAATAGGTTGAAACCATCACTTGAAAGACCCAACCTAACATTACGTGGATCTTTGGAGAAGTCAGGATGTAGAGAATCGAAATCCTTCCAAGCTTCTCCATCAGCAGGATGCCTCATATTCCCATCATTAGGCCGTTCATTAGCATGCCATCTCATTGCAATAGCTGTTTCAGGACACATGAATATCCTCTGAAGCCTAGGCTTCAAGGGAAAGTACCTTAAAACCTTTGCAGGAACTTTAAAACTTGTATTAGTCAAGGCACGATTACAACTTTTCCATCTAGAAGACCCACAAATAGAGCAATTATCAGCCTTTGCATTGTTATTCCAAAATAGCATGCAATCATTAGGACATGCATGTATTTTTTCATAATGAAGACCCACATCTTTTATCATATTTTTAGCATTGTTGAAAGACTCTGGCAGCTTAGCAAAAGGAAATTCCTCTTTTAACAACTCTAACAAGTCTGAAAAGGCTACATTACTCAACCCATGCAAAGACTTAAACAAGTACAACCGGATGGTGAAACTCAGTTTACTAAAGTTTTCACACCCGGGATATAACTCTTGTTTCCCTTCCTCTAATAATTTAAAAAATTTCTTAGCATCTTCAGATAGAGCCTCTCTCATCCCTTCTTCTTGTACCGGTTCACCTTCTACATTTCTGAATGTATCATGAAGTAATCCATCAATATCATCACGCATGTTAGAACCTTCATCATTATTGCTTTGATGAGGTGTAATTCTAGAGGAAAATCCTTCACCATGAAAATCCTATTAACTCAATAAAATCCTATACATGAAAATCCTATACGACAAAAGTAATCAACAAAATTAACTCAATAAACCAAGATACATACTAATTTGACATGACCAAAACTTAAAGGGGATGAAATCAAAGAGTTACAAATAGTAAAGCAATTTTTGCATTGAGAAAAAATTATAAAATCATTAGAGAAGAGATCTGTTCTTAGTGTCAACGAAAGTTCAACATGACTTGAAAAGTTGATAAGTTGATGTTGGATATAATAAGAATGAAAGTAGTTTATGGTTAACATTTATAGTTTTGTAGTGAATCAAAGAAATCAAGCATGCTATTCTCATCTCTAAGACTCTAACATCCTCTAGGTTGCACCAAAAAGCCATACGCACGAGTATTTCATTTTCTGTACAAGTTGGTGCTAGTACATCGTCCATCTATATTTCTCATATTCTATCAGTAGCTCTTTAGATTATTACTAATAGACTCCCATTAGGAGCAGAAGTCAGGCATTACCCCAATTCAAGCGAATGGTATTCATTCTGTACGAATAAATGCGGATCGCNTCTCGAGAATTAGCAGGACTTTCTAACAAATTTATATAGTTTTCACTATATTTAGTAACAGAAACAGTGTATCTTTTATACAATGTATTTATACAAGTCATGGAAATAGCTGCACATAACCTGTTCGCAATTGCAATTCCTAAAATGACAAGGGGTAGGAAGGATGACGAATGCTCCAATTGTAGCAAAGAATACTGAGTCATTCCTCTGAGAAACTTCATTCAAGTAGGCTTTGTCTTTTTGATGTTTCTCTTCTGTGAAACAGTTAAGAACTTGGCGCTGACCTTCTTAAGATTCTTACCCAAGGGAATGCTGAAGTCATCATCTCGATCTCCAACCAACTTAGCAAGCTGAGCACGAATTGTAGGTTTACCAGAGCTACTATCACTTTCATAACCTGGCCAAGGATCAAGTCAACGATTGGTCAAGAATAACTAAACCGTAACTCAGCTCTCGATAAGGAAAGGCGAAAGTAAACAAAGATGGGCAACTTTACTTGAATCTTGCTATAACTTTTTGACTAAATGGAAGGGATAATAAATGGCCANATTTATCTTCAGACAACAGCTATTACAATTTTCCTAACATGTTCTCCAGCGGTTTTGAATTTTGAACCATCACATTCATGTGTATTTTCTGGAATTTTTTTGATAGATATGCAAGGAATTGACAGAAAATAGTGGTTGTTTTTAGATGATAACCACTGCTTGCAGCTTGTGAAGGCTGCATTTAAGCATGTTGATAAGTTTTCAGTTCTTTTTCAATTACTCCTTCATTGAAAAGTGGATTTTTTACAATATACTAGATCATATGCCACATATAAAGCCTGATGTATGTCAACAACAACAACATGAAGAGCACTGTTTTTACAGTGTAGATTTGCATCCAAGATTTAACAGAAAAGGCAAATTTTGCATCCTTTTGAAGAATGCCCTTATAAGACTTTCTTGGGACCAATGTAACAAAGGGAAAACGAGAGAAGAGTTAACAGAAGCTCAACTATAGCTAGTTGACAGAAGCCTTCAATCTAGATGGCTTTGTACAGAAAACCAAGATAAAGAGGAAGCAACATGTCTGAGGAAGCAACATGTGTTGATATTATAAGCCAATTATTCTCTTTATAAAAGGTTATAGCTAAGCCGAATAAGTTTAAGTGTAACTTTAAAAAAGAAGCAGAAGGAGGAGAAGAAGAAAGGAAGAAACAAACAAAGAAAGATGCACTGACCTTGATTATTACTCCCAGTAGATAGGCGATTTATTAGTTGCACAGCAGCTTGTTTGGCAGAGGAAGCTTCTCCAGGTGAACAAGCATTGAAACCTAGCATGCTGGGATCAACTCGTAAATCTGGATTCAGATGCTTAAGTTGTGAAATGATTTTAACTGCAACTTGTAGTTCCATGGCATCTTTTTGTGCATTGAACTTTTCCTGCAATCTTTGCTGCATCCTTTCTTCCATTTCCTCCAATTTTTGCTGCATCACCTCATCAGTAGAACTTGAGGGTCCCAAATCTCCCACTTTTCTTTTTAAGGAGGTCTTGGTAACCCCACGTCCATACAATCTTATGCGACCTGGATGCTCAGGTCCCATGACTGATGCAAATGCATCAACTGATTGACTGCCATCTTCACTTTCTTGTGTTGATTGTAGTCTTTCCATTTCAGCCTACAAGACCAAATTGAGTCATTATTAAATCAGAAAGTATATGACACTAAGTCAATAACTAAGAACGGACAAATGATAACAACAAACTTTAAATTAATAACTCGTACAATTTTATTAAGAGTATCTGCATACGAGGCCTTGTATACTCGATCAACTTTTCTTTTTCTCGTAGCCACAAAGAGGTCCTTGCTTGATAGAGGCTCAGAAGTTTCTTTCTTTTTTTCCTGATTATATAAAAAGTGGTATAAAAATATATTGGACTAAAGTTAATAAGTTCATATTTAAAAGAATAATAATAAGAAAAAAAATATCAAACCTCGCATATTCGAGCAAAACTTCTTTTGCCAGCAGTGTGTGGATATTTCAACTTTTTATGATTCTCGGTATTGGTTTGGGACATTTTCTGCAAATCGGCCAATAAATATAAAGTTGTCAAGTTCAGTTGTCCCAACAGATTCAAATGAAGCTTAAATTTTGCACTAGGTTATGTAACCTAAGTGCATTTGATGTATAAAAATAATAAAGTGATTTCTAATTAAACATAAACCAGACATTCTCAGCAAATCATGGGACAATACTTAGTTTTACCTTGTAGGCATCAGAGTTTCAATAATTAAGAAGATCCCTAAATTGAGATTCAGGAACATCAACCAGCCTTTTCTCCATTCGAAGCTCGTCATTCTCATATGGTTTATAATGGTCGTTAAATAGTTGATTCTTACACTTTCTCCAAGCATTCTGAATTGAATCAAAAAGCCACCTTTCTGTAGCATCAGGAATATCATATTTTCCCTACAAATTTAATTTGGTACAGTTAGGTTAGTGTAAAAATATAAAATATCTACACAGAATATTGCGAACTTAAAACCTTGATATATATCCACATATCTTCTTTTGTTTGAAGTTTTCTCCAATTAAACACATTAAGAGGACAAAAGGCCGCATTCCTTGCCAATGTACCGAGGAAGCTACCCAACTCTGCTACAACATCACCAGTAGGACCTATGGGTTGATTGTTCTCGTTTAGCACAATTAGCTTGCGCTCTTTCCTACCATGAACATTTGGCATCAAAGTTTTTCCTCTTTTTCTTTTTTCGTCAGAAGGACCTGCATTAATATTAAGTAAGAATAATCACCATATATCACGTCCATATTGTTTGCTAATTTAACGAAATAAAATTTATATGTTCTTGCCTTGTTCCTCGGATTGTTCGTTTGTTTCATGATTGGAAGAATCCTCAAATTGTTCATGTACCGTTTGTGAAGTACAAATGGTGGAATCCAGTGGCAGTTGCTGCGATTGTTCACGTACTGCTTGTGATGCAAGAGAGGTAGAGTTCAGTGACTTTTGTTGCACATGTTCATGTACAGTTTGTGCTGGAGAAGCAGAAGGCTGAGGCAGTTGCAACAATTGTTCTTGCACTTGAACTCCTAATTGCGAAAGTTGTTTTTCAATTAAATTCATATGATGCTTGTCATTTGTCATTGTAGATTGAACAATTCTTTTTGTTTTCAATGATGAAACTTTTTGGTTCAGCAAAGATGCAAGTGATCCGGCTGCAATGCAATTTTTAGCTTTTTTATTTTTACTTGAGTGCCCTTCCTGATTCATGACTATTCAAATTCCTGTCAAATTCAGAAAATTAAATAAAAAATAAGTTATCAAAGCATTAACAACAAGACCTTTGGGTTAATCTGGGAAATATGATGAAAAGGGAAGAAGTTCTGAGAACCAACAATGAATACAACAACACACAGCAGGAGTAGGAGAAGTTCTGAGAATAATTTTGACCATCTGCCCCAAGAGGAGAGCAATTTAACAATGGTAATCATAGGAATATGATTAAGGAAGAGTATTATGTTGTTCTATGATATATGTAGATACTATTGGCATTTAAATTCAGGAGCATTTGAGGTGGTTGAAAACCAGATCAACAACTCAACGTCACCTGAAAGGAGACACATGAGGGCAAGGCACAAACCATCAAAGAGTCGCTCACACAAATACTGTCAAAATGGACAATCTCACCTAGGTGCACAACTGCTGCAACATGGTAGAACAGGAATTTTTCAGTTAAAGGTATATTTGGACTATTACAAATTACACAGAGAGCCAGACAAAGAAAAAACAGCAAAACATTACATTGATAATGAGAGAGTACACTTAATGAGATATAGAGAGCATGTGTCATAATTACAAGTGGGGCATGCCAACCGCCCCTTGGTGCTCCATCCTGAAAGCATTGCTAATGCTGGAAAATCACTAACTGTCCACAACAAGGCTGCACGCATTTGAAATGTTTGCTTTGTCTCAGCATCATATGTTTCTATCCCAGTTTCCCATAGTTCCTTCAATTATGCAATAAGTGGTTGTAAGTACACATCTATATCATTTCCTGGAGATGAAGGACCTGGAATGATCATTGACAACATGATATATTCTGGCTTCATGCAAATCCATGGTGATAAATTATAGTTCATTAACATGACAGGCCACGTGCTATGAGATATGCTCATGGTTCGAAATGGGTTGAAACCATCACTTGAAAGACCCAACCTAACATTACGTGGATCTTTGGAGAAGTCAGGATGTAGAGAATCGAAATCCTTCCAAGCTTCTCCATCAGCAGGATGCCTCATATTCCCATCATTAGGCCGTTCATTAGCATGCCATCTCATTGCAATAGCTGTTTCAGGACACATGAATATTCTCTGAAGCCTAGGCTTCAAGGGAAAGTACCTTAAAACCTTTGCAGGAACTTTAAAACTTGTATTAGTCAAGGCACGATTACAACTTTTCCATCTAGAAGATCCACAAACAGAGCAATTATCAGCCTTTGCATTGTTATTCCAAAATAGCATGCAATATTAGGGCATGCATGTATTTTTTCATAATGAAGACCCAAATCTTTTATCATATTTTTAGCACTGTTGAAAGACTCTGGCAGCTTAGCAAAAGGAAATGCCTCTTTTAACAACTCTAACAAGTCTGAAAAGGCTACATTACTCAACCCATGCAAAGACTTAAACAAGTACAACCTGATGGTGAGACTCAGTTTACTAAAGTTTTCACACCCGGGATATAACTCTTGTTTCCCTTCCTCTAATAATTTAAAAAATTTCTTAGCATCTTCAGATAGAGCCTCTCTCATCCCTTATTCTTGTACCGGCTGACCTTCTACATTTCTGAATGTATCATGAAGTAATCCATCAATATCATCACGTATTTAGAACCTTCATCATTATTGCTTTGATGAGCTGTAATTCTAGAGGAAAATCCTTCACCATGGAAAACCCATTCGGTGTAACCATCAACAAAGCCATTAACGACCAAGTGATCCTCCACCACATTTCTATAATGCCAATAGCGATTAATGCACTTTTGACAAGGGCATCATATTTCATTTCCTTGGGAAGCTCGTTCAAATGCCTTACCAAGGAAATCATTCACTCCACGTATATACTCATCCGTCCATCTTAGGAGATGCATCCAACTTTTATCAACACTATCCATGAATATCCTATACGACAAAAGTAATCAACAAAATTAACTCAATAAACCAAGATACATACTAATTTGACATGACCAAAACTTAAAGGGGATGAAGTCAAAGAGTTACAAATAGTAAAGCAATTTTTGCATTGAGAAAGAATTATAAAATCATTAGAGAAGAGATCTGTTCTTAGTGTCAACGAAAGTTCAACATGACTTGAAAAGTTGATGAGTTGATGTTGGATATAATAAGAATGAAAATAGTTTATGGTTGACATTTATAGTTGTGTGGTGAACCAAAGAAATCAAGCATGCTATTCTCACCTCTAAGACTCTAACATCCTCTAAGTCGCACCAAAAAGCCATACGCATGAGTATTTCATTTTCTGTACAAGTTGGTGCTAGTACATCGTCCATCTATATTTCTCATATTCCATCAGTAGCTCTTTAGATTGTTACTAATAGACTTCCATTAGGAGCAGAAGTCAAGCATTACCCCAATTCAAGCGAATGGTATTCATTCCGTACGAATAAATGCGGATCGCATTTCACAAGCGTGTGTTTCGCGGTGCCACTTCTGTTATTCCCTAACTCTTGTGTTTGTTCATTTACCAATGAAAATTGAAAAGAAAAGAGTTGCCAGCTTCCTGTCCAGGTTTTTTTTCTTTAAACTAAGAAGTTCAAGCTTAATAGAGCTTTGACTTAGCTTCACAAAGATTCAATTAAATAAGACAAAGAAAAGACTAGCAACCAAATCACTATTATCTCATGAAAAAGTTATCTAGACTGCTAGCATTATACGAGGTAGTGAGGTCAGAAACGACCAATAATCATTCGTCATGTAGAATATTTGATTTTTGTTTCTAGCTCTCAATAAGCATTATTTGATTCGTCAAGGAATTAACATTGGTGGTGTATTTTTCGTCAAAGAAGCTGACAGATATGGGGTTTCAATTCAAGTACACTTTGGAGGATATGTATAAAGGGGCCATTGAGACTTGTCGAAAGAAGCATTTGCTTCCCTTTTGTACCCGAATCACTACTGATAATGGACGTGACAAAGAAGCCACAAAGTAGTGAACTATGTAGAGTAAAGTTTCAGCTTTAGAGAAGCAGGCAATGTCTACTGATGACAAAAAAGTAAAGTACAATAAAGTATTGGGACTTTAAGACTAAGTGATAACCTTGCTATAAGTGATCTGACCTAAACTTTGAACGCCAGAAATTCCAGAATCTCCACCAGCAGAATTCTAGGAACACAAAAAAGAAAGATGAAAAAAATATTTTACTTACTATCTTCCCATTCTTAAGAACAAGTAAATACAACAATTACCAAAGAAGGAAACAGAAGCATTATCATTCATAATCCAAATACTGAGTAAATCAAAGGCACGCAAGAGAACATACTGCCCAAGTGAAAAGAAATAGGAACAATTAAAGGAAAAATAATTCTACCAACAATTGATATATCCATCGATTTTTATTTATTTATTTATTTATTTATTTATTTATCTATTTTGCAAACCCTACTTCTCTAGGTTTTACAGCTATTAGGAGTACAATCCAAACAAAACAAAAAACCTAACCCTTAAACATTAAGGGTGAAAACCAAAATCAGGAAATAATGAACCAAGCTTCTGAATCAACTATGGATTTCTGAAGGTCTTCGTTTTAAATCTACTGATGATGATTCTGCTGCTAAACAAGCTTCTGAATCAACTATGGATGCTACTAAAAATGCCAAAGACAAGATTACTGACACTGCTGCAGGTTACTTATTGTCGCTTATACTATTCTTTTAATGTACTTTAGTTTATATAGATTCGTATTTGTGGTCAAACCCATGACATACAAATAGTTCATCACTGTTTGTATCCACTGACTTCAAATTTTAATTAAGCACCTAT